CTCTTTCCCCACTAAACACTTCGGCCAAATCCATCATCAATGATGACTATCCCATTCTTCTAATTTAATTTCTAAACCCTAAAACCTTAGTGATTTGACGTTTCTACCCCCCAAATCCAATGCATCTAATCATATGCATTTTCTTCATTTCTTTTGTAATCCTCCTCTACACATTGTGAGAGAGAGGGAGACACGATCATTCTTGTTACTACCACGTGTACGTGTACGTGTACGTGTACGAGGTAACTAGTGAATCTAGTAAAAAATTGTAATTTCTAAAAAACTAATTTTCCGGAAAAGGGTTATTAAATATTTCTGAAAATATTATAACGTTGTTTTCCTAGGAGAAAATTATCTTAAAAATGCATTTTATAAAGTTTTTTCGCAAATTTTTACGTAATCGAAGGGAAATTGGTTTTCTTTTTTTAAAATACTTATTTTAATAGTAACTTGTGTATGTGTATGTGTATGTGTATGTGTATGTGTATGTGTATGTGTATGTGTACACACACGTAAAAACAACTTACCCATATTCAAAAGCCGTGTGTTGATGAGAAAGACGCTTTGTCCACTTGGCTTGAGCCAAATGGACCATGAACGGGTGCTCTCCTTTAAGAATTTGTATATAATTATTTAATTCAAATATCTCTCTCTCTCTCTCTATATATATATCAAATTAATTAACATATAAAATATTGATTGATTAATTTTGTGTGGGACAAGAAACCCACAAAATTTGATGTTTGTGGGAGATAGAAAGGGGGGGCCATCGGCCTTTTTAGTGCAAGTGCCCTAAAGTGGTTGATTGGCTCAATTCCTTTAGATGCTCCTCTCCTTGTTCTCTCCCGACTTTCTTTTTAAAAAAATATTCTTCATCTCTTGATCATCATTTTTATTCTCATTTCATCTTTTTTTTTTTTTATGATTCTTCATTATAGTGCATAACTATATGCATATGGTTTGAATATCTTGATCTAATTGTTTTGTTTTGCAACTACATTTTTTGTTTATCGGATGATTTTCTAATCAAAGTGTTGGATCCAATTTATAACTATCGGATTATATATATATATATTTTAAAAAAAATACCCATATATAGAATTCAATGGAAGATCTCCATTGAATACATTAATATTTTATTATTATGTATCTTTGTCAAATTTGATGTTTCATTTACGTACAAACTAATACTTGAATATATCGAAATTACGTATGGACTGTGTTATTTAACGCAATTATTATTCATTGGGGCATATCTTAAATATATAAAAAAGACCTTTTGGCACTATTCATGACAAAAGCTACAATGATGCTATGACATTTTGGTCAAGACATTTAATTGTTTGCCGTGTCGTCTCCATCTTTTGTTCTCTAACATCTGTCCTTGTATTTTTTTTTTTGTGTGTGGAAATTATTCCATGTTATCCTTACAAGTAATTATGAAAAGGAAATATACTTAAAAAGTTTTTTTTAAAAAAAATCAAAGAAAAAAATATATAATATCGATAAAGAAAATTAGGAACGAAGATTCAATATAGCCTTTGTGGTTGTCGAAATCATTTGGGAGGAAAGCAAATTGACACCTTCGATATCCCCCACAAAGATTGGTCGAACGATGCTTTCAACGAAATTTTTATGTAATTATTCACATATATTATCACGTTTTTATTTATAGAAAAAAATATGACTTTTAGATAATGCTCTTTGATTTTTTTTTTTTTGGGATTTCCAATTATTATACGATCTTCTTATTGGAAAACAACCTAAAACCAACAAAATGTTTAGTAAAAAGTCGGAACATGTCGAAGTGCGTTCCTTTTAACCGACCTAAAGATACAATAGTCAGACGGTCGGTAACTAATTCATTAGCGGACAATTAAAAAAATGGTTGGTTTATTACAATATTCGTAATATAGACAAAAGACTTTATACTTCAAACTCTATTTAATCTATAGTATTATATATATATATATATATCTTTGTAACGGAAACAAACAATGATATAAAAAAAATAATAGATGATGTTTTATAAAGTATAATAACTAATCGCGATTTGGAGATAATTAAAATTTTAAAGATGGTAAGATGATGTAAGAATACAATAAGAAATACCATGCCAAATAAAGGTTATAATAATATATAATATCTGATATGTTATTATTTTTTTATATTCTTTGATTTATCTCCTCTAAAACCATATTTTCAAAGTATAGCAAGATTAGACGATATTTAAATATCGGTTTCGATGTTTTTCATGAATCAATGTTAATCTTTACATTTTTCAATTTACATACTTCAAAATTTCCAAACAGTTATATATTCAAAACCGTTGGATAATGTTAATATTATTAGACGCAATAAGCATGGTAGGTATGTCTACGCGACGTCAATAGACTCAATACCAAAGGGTCGATTTTTTTTTGTTGTTTTGGTTGGTTTAAAAAAAATGAAAGATAAAACACACACTCCCATATATATCTTTGAATTTTAGATTTTTTATTTTATTTTCATATATATATATATGAAAATGTGTTTGAAATGTTCCAAGAATTAAAGAGCCGCCGAGAAAGAGAGAGGGTTCGAAATGCTTTCAATGATTCGATCAGAAACGATGGTTAAAATCATCAAGAGTAATGCCCATAGGGTTCTAAGAGTAAAATCGGGAAAATATACGTCCGATATATATATATATATAAGTCGGTCGATATATTACCATAGGTTTAATTTTATCATTATAACATAACAATCCTTACTCGTATTTTCGCGCGTGATTCCGAGAATCTCTCATCTCCATTAGAGAGCTCCAAGGTCACAGGATAAAGGATACGATCTTCCCAAGACGTAGGACCATAATTAACAAGATAGATGTGAAGTCTTTAACTTTGTGATCCCATGTTTTTTTATATAAATAAAAACTTGTTTTTTTTTTTGTAATCTATGGTACGTCAAATCAAATTTAGGTCCCAATAAAAAAAAAAATTAGGTCCCAACAGTTTGATTCTATCGTTTACGCGTTAATGTATACAAAAAATGACTTTATTTTTGGTCCCTGCCGGAGTGTACAAATTAAAATTATTTCAATCATTTTTATCGTGAGTCGTGACCACAATTCTTGGTACGTGAAAACACATGATAAACTCACGAGCACGCACAATTAGATCGTGTGAAAGCAAATCCTCTTTGTAACTTACTGCAAACAAAAAATATATAAACAAGACTAGGGAATGAATTCGGTAGATATAAATCATATTAATTAAACACGGAATAATTAAACGTTAGATATAATATATGGTAATGTCGAATAATCTTTCAGTAATTTTAATGCGCACATATAATTCGAGTTCTATAAGATATATCAATGAATTGCCGATGAAACGATAGGAAAAATGTGTTCGGACAATAAGTTAAGGAACGTAAGAAAAACGAGCGGTCCAGTTGGAAGTGCATTGATTGATTGCAATGGAAATGGTTAGATGTATCATTCATGAATATATAATTTTATTTATTTGTAATATATGTATATATATTTATTACATCAAAAGCAAAATGTTTGTTCGATGAGGGCATCTCCTCACGTGAAGTCTCCCCCCACCACCCATCCATTTCCTCTCGAACATGGCGTTCATCGTTTCCTCATTTATTGTTATTAATTATTATTTAGGGACCCGACCTCCTTATCAAATTAATTTTCCGGATTCAGAGGTTATTACCGTTACTCATTCACATCTTCTTTAAAAAAAAATCAGAAATATTCACTGAAAAAATTAAAATTAAACTACTGTTGCTGATTCAGATATTAGATCCATTTCTTATTGAAAATATTTATTTTCGTATTTAATTTAATCTGATTTAAAGAAATTATATATAATCAATTTTATGATTATATATATATATATATATCAAATAAACACCCTAATTATCACGGCTTAATTAATATATATAGCCCTTCAACTTTCAATATATACATAATGAACTTAACGAAATGAAGGATGGTAAAACGGGATATTATAAAAAATACCCTTAATTTATTTGTTATTTTGACTTCAAGACATACCTTTATCCAGTTGTGACCCTGTGATCCATGTGATCAGAAATTTAATCTTGATTATTTTGACCATAACGTTAAATTTATGATGATCACACTCATTCATTATGTTCATATCTTATATATCTCACTAATCATTTGATAAAAAATTTATAAATTCAATGTTATGAATAATATGATCAAGATTAAATTTCTGATCACATGGGTCACATGGTCACAGATGGAGAATGGTATGTCTTGAAATAAAAATAGCAAATGGAGGGTATTTTTGATATAATACCGGGTAAAACATAATAATAATAATAATAATAATAATAATAATAATAATAATAATAATAATAATAATAATAATAATAATAATAATAATAAGAAGAAGAAGAAGAAGGCACATTTGCACGTTACTAGGAGTCTCTCTCGTGTGTCGCGCGTTGCGGTCAGATTAACAAACGGCAACTTGCACTTAGTTTTCTGTATCCTTCAAATCATTTCCACATTGATTTTTCCGTCTCATCATATTTCTCAATTATTTATCAAAGTTATAACCTTTTGAATAACCAATTATTCCACAACGATGATATTTTCGCCAGTCGGTCTAGATACGTGGGCCTAGAACGACGGCATTTTCTCCACGTTAAATATATGAATAAATCAATTCAAATATATATTTCTATAATAAAAATATATCAATAAATTCAGTAACGTACCGATATATACATATATATATACACACACACACACACACAAGCCAACCTGCTCCACGTTATAGTCAAGCTCAAAATATATTGAATACATATATAAATGCCCAATGTCAAACAAAAGGGCAAAAAAAAGATGACATAATTTGGTCGCAACGAAACGTACAATGAGAATATTGAGTTGTCTTTGGGGGCTCATCATTCAGGGTCAGCTCTTCTAAATTATTTCGGGCTATTTTATTATTATTTTTATTATTATTTATGGTATTTATTATTAATATTTCATGAGTTACGGTTGTTTCACATTTAAATTTTTATTAAAATTCGTGGACTATTTGTAGATGCAAATTGGTTATAAATTCACATTGGACAGCTTCAAGGTGTATGTGTGTGAACCGAACCCTACGTAGTAAACGTCATACATCCGCCGTACACTATTTTTTTTGGGTATTTTCGAATTTAATTCTATATGTATATATGAATATGGTATTATAAATTCACACTATTTATTTGACCGTGCATTACTCATCAAAATGCTAACCAATAAATTATTCTTTTCGCAAATCATCCAATTCTATTCCAAACTTCAATCGATAAGTTCCATTAGATATTTGTATAGATGATTATTTGGATTATGATATAACTTATAGAAAGGAATAATACATAAATATGTTTGGAATTCTATATAATTACAAAGTTTGGTAGATATTTTTTAAAATTCAATATCAGAATGTGAAAAACAAAAAATTAACATTTTAGAGAATAAAATTTTAAAATGAATTTAAATTAAATACAAATAAAATAGAGATCAACTAAAAATTCTTAACTATCTAATTTCTATAAAAAATTTACTTCATGTTAAAAAGTTAATCAACTATTAATCTTGAAAAAATAATCAACTATCTATTTTAATTAAAATTAAATGAAGTTTATTTTAAATTTGTAATAAAATCCATCAATTTTTAATTTTAATAAAAAAATCATATTTAAAGGTATACATTGTCTCTTATATAATTAATTCTATGCACATTATATAATGCATAATATTTAAAATATTAATTTTTTATAAACAATCCAGTTGATAATTTAAAACATCTCGAATAATAATAATAATAATAATAATAATAATATATCATAAATATAATCAAATTTTCAAAAAAAATTATGAATTCAATCAATAAAATATATATATATTTAAACATAAAAATTGTTGTATACATGTCTGTTATGTATATAAATGATGATTTATAAACTATACAATTTTAGTATTAAAATAAAATACTAATTATTTATGCAAATTCTAAGTATTATAATATAATAAATTTTTATAATATATAGTTTGTGTTTTTATGTTTTGATACTTAGAATCATATAATTTATATATGGTTTTGTTTAAAACTAAAATTTGATGAATTTTTGTAACAAATTTAAAATGAAGGTTTTTCTAGGGTATCAAATTTTTTCAAAACTAATTGATTTTTATAACAAATATAAAGTAAAATAATTTTTGATTTTCTATAATAATATAAAACATAATTTTTAGAAATAAATTATATCATCAGTTATTTTTTGTTTCTCTAATTAACCAACCGAACAAACATTAAAAAATGAAGCAATACATGTTCTATATTTCTATTAGTTGTTTATACATACATTTTAAGATTTTTTTAGCTGTAAAAATTATTATTTTAGGGTCAGCAAAATGTGGAAAAAATAAATAAATACAAATAAGAATCTTTCTCTCTCCGTCTCTAATGATAGTATTAAATCGTAACCTATTTAATTCTACATCCTTGTATACATACATGTATACCTCTTTTGTATATAAACACCCTCTCCTCGTTTATCTTCAACAATATTTTACCCCATCCGCCAAAATTTTTATTTTTGTTATTTTTTCAAAAAAAAAATTCCCCCCTGTGATTGTTTTTGGTCTCTAATGGAGCCTGACTTGTCGTCTAGTAGAGGCAAGCCCAAGCTACTTAGCCGGGTCAACTCGTACGTGGCTTCTACCCGAGTCGGGAAACGGTTCAAACTTCACGACCGGAAAACCACTTTCACGACGGAGCTCCGAGCAGGGACGGCGACGTTCCTAACCATGGCTTACATACTCGCCGTCAACGCCTCCATCTTGTCGGATTCCGGCGGAACATGCTCTGTCTCCGATTGTGTCCCCCTCTGTTCCGACCCGACAATCCCTGTCTCCCGGTGTTCCGGGCCGGGTCTCCGAATCGTTCAACCCGATCAGAGCTGCAAATTCGACCCGGTTAACCCGGGTTACGCCATGTGCGTCGACCGGATCCGGAAGGATCTGATCGTGGCCACCGTGGCTTCGTCGCTCATCGGGTGCGCGATAATGGGCGTTTTCGCGAATCTACCTCTGGCTATGGCTCCGGGCATGGGCGCGAACGCTTACTTCGCTTACACAGTTGTCGGGTTTCACGGGTCGGGCCCGGTCCCTTACCGGAGCGCACTCGCCGCCATTTTCATCGAGGGGTTGATCTTCTTGTTCATCTCCGCAATCGGATTCCGAGCCAAACTCGCTAAACTCGTCCCTAAACCCATCCGGATCAGTTCCTCCGCCGGAATTGGACTCTTCCTAGCCTTCATCGGGTTACAGAACAATCAAGGAATCGGATTGGTCGGATACAATCCCTCGACCCTCGTCACTCTCGCCGCCTGTCCGAGCTCGTCGCGTGCTTCAGTAGCCCCCGTCATCACCTCTGCGAACGGCACCGTGACCCTCCTCGCCGGAGGAACCGTCTCCGGCGGAATACTCTGCCTCAACGGACGCATGGAGAGCCCGACATTCTGGCTTGGCGTCCTGGGCTTCGTCATAATCGCGTACTGTCTCGCGAAGGACGTCAAAGGAGGGATGATCTACGGAATCGTCTTTGTCACCGCGATCTCGTGGTTCCGCAATACAGGGGTCACGGCGTTTCCCGACACAGCCGCCGGAGACGCCGCTCACGACTACTTCAAGAAGGTCGTCGATGTCCACGTCATCAAGCACACGGCGGGAGCTCTGAGCTTCAAGGGCATTGGCAATGGCAGATTCTGGGAAGCCCTCGTGACCTTCCTCTACGTCGATATCTTAGACACGACGGGGACTCTGTATTCGATGGCGAGATTCGCTGGGTTCGTCGACGAGGACGGAAACTTCGAAGGACAGTACTTCGCGTTCATGTCGGACGCGTCGGCGATCGTGATCGGATCCCTTCTGGGGACGTCGCCGGTGACGGTATTCATCGAGTCGTCGACAGGAATAAGAGAAGGAGGGCGGACGGGGCTAACGGCGTTAACGGTGGCGGGGTATTTCTTCCTAGCGATGTTCTTCACGCCGTTACTGGCGTCGATACCGGCGTGGGCGGTGGGTCCGCCATTGATTCTTGTGGGAGTGCTGATGATGAAGTCGGTGACGGATATCGATTGGTCGGACATGAAACAGGCGATTCCTGGGTTCGTGACGCTGATTCTGATGCCGTTGACGTACTCCGTCGCGTACGGACTCATCGGAGGGATCGGGGTTTATGTCGTGCTGAATCTATGGGACTGGTCGGTGGAGATTTTGGCGAAGTTTGGGGTCTTGAGGAAGAAGAAGAAGGTTGAAGAAGAAGGAGGGAACACTGGCAATGGCAATGGCAATGGCAATGGGAAAGTTGGTGAGGTTCATGTCGTTTAGGTTTTTTTTTTTTTTGGAGTATATTGTTTGTTTCTTAGTGGGCTTTTTTTTTTCTCTATATTTTTTATTTTGTGAATTACGAAAATTGTTGCATTCTTTTTAGGATGAAATATATATATATATATATATGTATGGAGAAAGGAGTCCAAGTGCATAAACATTGGATAACTTTTGTTTAAATGAAATCATATATAATTACCCGACGGAAATGACCATACTAACACTCATACGATATGCCAAGAACCATTTATATTTAAAACATACGAAATTTTGTACCATGTTTAAGATCCGAAACATAACATTATTATTATTCAGACAAAGGAAAACTACATAAAGAGAAGCCCTTTTCCCTTTTGTCGAATTCCATTGGGAAATATTGGGAAATTAAATATCAGAAAATTAGGATATACTTTGGAATTAATATCAGCAAATTACGTACGTCACGTGTGGGTGGCTTAGAGGGCATTTTGGTCATAGGCTACGAGAGAGAAAAGGCTCTGGATCATTTATGATTTGTGGTATCAGGAAAGATCCGGGAAGAAAGAAAAGTGCCGGACAGAGCGGCCCGATGAGCTCCATCGCAAGCAAGAGCTGCGTTTTCTCGGCATCCAAACACTCCCGAGAAAATGAATCAGCTTTCTGGGCAGCCATCCTCAAGAAGCCATCGCTCGATCCCAGAATCCTCGGCAGTTTGCCCAAATCATTTCGAGTTTCCTGCAAAGTGCCGGGACGTGGTGTCGGAGAAAACCCAGGAAGAAATGGCTCGTCTTTGAGCTCCAAGAGCGGACCGGAGGATTACAACACTGTTATGAAGAGAATGATGAGGAACCCATATGAGTATCATCACGATCTGGGTAAACTATTCATTCCTTTTCGAGTTTCTTGCTATGAACTTTTCTGGGTAGCGTCTTTCAACAATTGTGCTGCAATTCCTTTTTCTGGGTAGATCCATTGATTCATAGATACTGCCTGAAGTTCGGTGTTCTAATGTGTTGTTCAAGTTTTTCCTTGGGATGCAAGATGGGAAGCAATGTGCTTTTTTGGTTGTCTGAATCTGGTCATGTACTGTTTCAAATTTCAGGCATGAACTACACATTGATAACAGATGAATTGATCGTGGGGTCGCAGCCACAGAAGCCAGAGGACATAGATCACTTGAAACATGAAGAGAATGTTGCTTACATTCTGAACTTGCAGCAGGACACCGACATCGAGTACTGGGGAATCGATCTCGAAACCATTGTCAGAAGATCCAAGGAGCTTGGAATCCATCACATGAGAAGGCCTGTAAGAAATCACCCTCCTCATCGGGCAAAACTTACTAAACACTGTTCTTGATCTTTGAGGAAATGGAGAATCTGAGATTTTTTTTTCTTTTTTTATCATCAGTTTCTTGTTCTGGGATTTGTTTAGGCAAAAGACTTCGACCCAGATTCATTGAGAAGCCAGCTTCCAAAAGCTGTAGCATTGTTGGAATCGGCGACTTCACAAGGGAAAGGAAGGGTATATGTGCATTGCACAGCAGGGCTGGGAAGAGCTCCTGCCATTGCAATTGCATATATGTATTGGTTCTGTGACATGGATGTAAGTAAATGTCTTCAGCTCAAGCTCTTGGAACTTGCCATTACAGAACACCATTTGAACACCCGCTTTATGGTTTGATTCTGCGTTTGGACAGCTGAATACTGCTTATGACACTTTGGTTTCAAAACGGCCATGTGGGCCTAACAAAAGAGCAATCAGAGGAGCAACTTACGATTTGGCGAAGGAGGATCCATGGAAGGAGCCTTTTGAGATTCTTCCTGACTTTGCCTTTGAGGGCATTGCAGACTGGGAGAGGAAGTTGATACAGGAACGTGTTCGGTCTCTCCGTTGATTTTGACAAAAACCGTCAGATGGTAACAATGATCAGTTCTTTATTCTCTGCAAATCGCAATAAAAGAAGTGTATTCCACGGTATACAATCCCGACGCTTATAAAAGAACGAATTCACAATGTACAATCCCGGGCCTAGCTATCAATGTCTGCAGAAGCATATATTCTGCAGTCTTGGTGGAGTTATGGCACCTTGTAATCCTTCTTCTGGGTTGGCCTTGAGCAGCTCTTTTGACTTTGTATGAGCATTAACTTTTTAAGATCAAGAGCAAGTATATCACATATTCTGCAGCTCATATTTTCATCAATGTAAACAAGAATTTTTTCTCTCCTAGAAATCTCTAGGAAGATGAAACCACCTGGAGCTTTGCCAGTTGTTCTTGGCGCCGGCCCAAGAAGAATGCAGTGATTATCCATATTAAACAGACCTGTGGACCAATGGAGACATCATCAAGGAACATATAGATGATACATATGTTGGAAAGTCTTGAGGACAAGAACTCAACAGGTACGGCATAGAGCGAAGAGGTTGATGTTTGATCGCGAAGAGTGCTGGAAAGCAGTTCATATAGTCCCGCAGCCGCTGCATCTCCCAGCCGTTGGACTACAACATCTATGCAAACCTGCAATACAGTGTAAGAAACAAGGCCTGCATAATTTGCTCATCTTTCACAATGTCTATTAGAAATGAGGAATTGTAAAGGATACAATTTCGTAGGACAGGGACAGAAACAGAAACAGTCATATGGGTTTTGATGTCGGGTTCAAAGAAAAAAAAGAGCAATCTTTCTCTTCTCTACAACTGAACTGAAATGTTCAACATCTCTCTCAAGAGAAATCAGATAACAATGGTACCTTTGCTTTGTATTTCTCGTCTTGCGATACCACAGTGAACAGGAGCTCCCTTCCGGGTCTAGTCACGACATAAGTTGTCACCTGTCCAACAACAAAATGTGAGCGTGAAAACGAGGATTAAAAGTATCTGAGAGAAAAAGACGAGACAGAGGTGCTATTAGGCCACAAACCTTTCTGAGTGTTTCAGACACAGCAACTGTCACCCAAGATGGCCATACTGCAAGAGCAACCAAATTCCCCAGAGCAACAAATGGAGATGCAGATATGGCTACCGTTATACCAGCAACGGTCAAGATCCTACCCTATAAAACGTTAGAACCCCGAGAGTCAAACAGAAGATTTGTATTCATGTATCGTTGTCCCGATAGAAAGAACTACTAGTTTCACTGAATCAATGTCATAGCAAATTCTCTCGAAGATGACATACCGTTAGAGTGAGTTGTCCAACTAGTATGAAAACTGCAATGAAGCTATTTATCTGGGCGAACAGCCTTCTTCGTCCAATGGACGTTTTGATCGTCATAGCGATTATATTCACTTTCTACGATGAATTAAAGTTCCATCAGTGAGACCCAGAAGACTTACAAGTCTTCTCTGCACTAATTAGAGGACATTGACAACAAATACATAAAGCAAGAACAAGAATTGCTCATGTCAGAGAGAGTTTCTGATGGAGGAAGATTTATCATTATGCTGTGTAAATTTCGCCAAAACTAGAAGAGTCAATGTCGATGATCCAGATATCTTGGCAATTGAGGTCATAATGCCTATAAAGTAATGTTCTAAGAAACCAGAATCTCCTTCCTATTACAGTAAAGCAACCTTAGCCTCTTTTGCTACTGACAAGAACATATAATTTACATGCCAACTGCCAAGCCCATTTTTTATGACAGAAAAGCTTAATCAACTTGCTCAAATATATTTATATAAACTTCTAAGTTATTGAAACATAGTGTAACACTTTTAGGTTTCAGTCAACTCTCTAGCATGTGGAAAGCGTTTCTTACTTGGAAATAGAAGAATGACGAGATGACTGCACTGAGCCAGAGGAACAAAGACATGTGTAAGAGATAAGTGGATGCCAAAATAAGCCTCATTCCGTCGAAGATGGCCCAAAACTGAGGTTTGGCATCGGAGGTAGGAACCTTTGGACAAGAAACCTCCAGCTCATTTGCTTCACTTTTGTGTTCATCATCGGTTTTCCTAATAGCAAAAGAAAAAAATATAAAAATTCTGCAAGCAGCATTGGGCAGATTTTATTACAACTGTAACGGGCGTTTCAGTTCAATATATAGCCATGCATTGTCTCAAGCATCAAATTCACGATATGCATATGAAGAAGACGATGGAGCTGCATAGCTAACCTTAGGGGAGATAACTCCTCAGGGGAATATGTAATATCTCTGGTGATCCCTTTTGAAGATTGTGCAGCGAACTCCATCAAAAGAGCAGCAAAGAGAAGTAAAACTGCATCAAGCATCATCTTCAGTTACGAGAAAAATCGAAATGGTATTCATCAAACAAACGAAGAAAGTCCTGCCCAGACAACTAAATAGAAACATCGCAGAAAAACAGCAAGGCATACATGGACCCAGCCAAGCCGTTACAGCAGCAAACACTGAGCCAAAAAGCTGACCAAGGGTAGCACCAGCACCAACAAAGCCAAACAATCTTGAACCTGACTGAATTTACAGAATGTGTTATGCCGATAAACAAATAACAACTTCTACAAAAAGCAAAGGGCTATAGAAACTACCTCGTTGTCCATCACATCAATTATTCTAGCCCATGTTGAAGAAATAGCCACAAGATTAAGCAATGCAACCTTCAGATACAGCAAAAGACTCCTTTGCGTTTATTACATATCTAATAAGCACACAGTGGCATGAGCCTAAAACCAAGAAAAAACAAAGCATTTGACATACCCAAAGGAAAAATCCAACTCGGACTGAAATGTAAAACCAACCATGGTTTTCCCATCCATCCGCAGAGCTAGTTCCATCAGCGCCAGTTTTCAGGTCTTTCTTTAGTCCGGATGCTGAGGCGACTGCGTCCTTCAAATCGAGTAGTATGCTTTAAATAGGGTTACAGAAGAGACGATACAGAAGCGGGCTTCTTATGATTACCTTTGAATTAGACGATACAATCTCTGTTGGGGAGAAGCGCCAGAGAATGAAAAACAGCACAAGAGATAGACTGAAGAATCTGTGTATAAGAACCAAAGCCTGGAATTTCAAGAACCATCATCAGTCGGGTAACGCCAAGACAGGTGGGAATCATATACTTGCTGTTGATACACTATCTCTTTTGTTGTATCTTCCCAGCAAAATACAATCCAAACAGCACCAGCTGAGACCAGAACGATCAAGCATTTCTCTATGCAACTAGATGCAAACCCAAATTAAAACTCAAAAAACATTGACTTAGCTAACGAAAGGGGCATCATTGGCGAATGATTAAAAAGTTCCCTTGAAACTATGCTACAGTTTATGAAAATCAAGAGAAGCCCATAGTCGATTTCTCTTGAATTCCCACTCGTACATACCTTTAAATCTACATTTCTTCGGAAAATGGCTACACGAACCAGAAACTTCAAAAAATCAAAGAATGTAGAAGGGAATGGCAGTACCTTGGATTTGGACAAATTGGGTAGAGAAAAGATCAAGGTGGACACAGGAGCAGCGATCAACGTGAGCACTAGGGATCCAACGAACAGGCCTGGAAGCTTCGACAAGCCCAGAGATATTGCCCCTTCGTCGCGCAATGGGAGTACAACAAAATACGCGCTCAAAATCTGACATTTGCTCGTGGGTTAGACACGAATTAAACTCCGTAATAAGCTAGTAACCTCTGATATGCAAAATCTGTCGAAAGGACGAAGCAGAGAGAAAGATCCGTACGAAGAAGAAGCAGGAGGAAGAATGGAGCAAGACCGGAATCTCGTGAGGGTGCACCGGAACAATCGCGGAAACAAACGCATCTAATCGAAGCCTACTTGACATTTCAGACACAGAGAGAGAGAGAGAGAGAGAGAGAGAGAGAGAGTCAAGACGGAGATCCGATCGTCCGACGACCGGGAAAACGGAGAAAGGCGTCCGAAGTGTAAAAACGAATTAATACAAGTAAAGCCCAATAAAGGCCCAATTTTAAGCCCAACATGAATGAGGAGACTGTGACCTGGATTTTGTTTTTTTTTTCCTTTTCTATATCATCAAAAATGGAAAAAAAAACTTTCTTGTTTTTTTTTTAATCTAATAACTCAAATCTGAATTATAACGTATAAGCCCACACTTGCCACGTCAGCTCTGAATCTCCCGCTGACTTCCATACATACATACATACATGCATACACATATATATATACAAACACATATATACATATATTTACTCAATTCGCGCCTCGACAACAAAGCAGAGGAAAGAAGAAGAAGAAGAAGAAGAAGAAGCAGTGTATTTTCTTGAAGACAGAGATAAAAGAAATGAAGAAAATCTCTGGTTTGCTTCTAATTCTCCTTCTCATCTCTGTAACTCAGCTTGCCTCACTGTCTACGGCGAGGCTTTGTGCCGGAGAAATCTTCCCGGCTATTGATGACGTAATCTTCGCCGTGGAGATTCCTGTCCCCAAGGAAGGTCAACATCAACGACCGACGGTGGGTTGCGGCGATGGGGATCCGGCGGAGACTTCGCCGGGAATTGTCACCGGAAAATATGGATCATTGGTGCTGAATGCTCTTCCGAAGAGGAGAGTTCCGGCGTCTGGACCAAGCAAGAGAACCAACGACGTCAAGGCATGAACTGTCAAGAACATGTTTTAGATCCCGCTGTCTTGTTTTGTCAGTTTGATTTCTGTTTTTTTTTTTTAATCTTTAGGGTTTGTTTTTATTTTATCCACGTTAATACTTTGATTTTTTTTCCTTAGAATTCTCCGATGTACGGGTTATATTAGCTGTGTAAATATCTCATTACATGAATTATAGTTTTCTCTTTGGTTCTTTCGAATATATAGCTCATCAAGTGTAACATTGGATCATACATGGTCTGTGGATGTTATGCAAATTATGACTTAATCATTTCATGAAATCAATTATAAAGTTTGCATAATTGGCACGTGGCACAAATAGAAGCAAAAACTCTTTTTTTTTTTCCCAAGTGGAATGCTCGATAGTCAATACATAATTCCCAGCAAAACCATGCATGGAATGATTTTCAAATTTTAGAATTTTGATATTATTTAACCAAAAAAATTGATATTAAATGAATGAGAATATATATATATAGAGGTGAAAACGCGTATTGGCACTGTTTGACTTTATGCGTAGTCAAACGAGGAAGTTTCTCGGGGAACACGTACGTATGCAATTCATATCTTATAATATATACATATTAGAGGTAAATCGTATACGTTAGTAGGGGTCAACGTAATCATTTTAGAATCGAATCATATTTAAAATAGTTTAAATATGGAAGTTCTCCAATCACATTGATCTGAACTCTAAAATATTAAAAAATCATAACAACAACGTAAATTTCTAAAAAAAAATTCAAAGGAAATCGGAAATATTTAATCTTAAATCTTTTTGTATATGCAGGAATTTCCCAAAAGAAAAATCTACATTTTTAGCGAAATACCAAAATCGGTGTACGGAAACAAAATTAGCCGAAAGATCTATGGGCCGAAGCTCACGACTAATTTTGGTGGGCTTTTTTAAAGTATGGGCCGAGTGGCCCATATGAACCTTCAACCTGTTCATGATTTTTGGTATGCATTTAATATCTTCAAATTCAGAAATTATTGTTAATTAATGACGTATTAACTCTCAGAGTCGTTTCTTTCTTACAGTAATTTACTAATTTTTGTTTGAAAGGACGTAATTAACAATGGATTTAATGTAATGATTACGCTACTAATTAGTGACTATTCGATTTCAAACATACCAACGATCATTATTTAATATACTAACCGCGTATATCAGTAATTAAAGTGCCGAACATAGCAATGATTACCATACTTGAAAATATTATTTTTGTTGTTGCTAGAATGGAAAATAATTTTAGAACATTGTTAAAAAAAATTAAAATAAAATACTATTTACAAATTTAGTAATGGATGGTTTGAAATAAATAAATGAAATACTATTTTTCTTATTTTTCAATTGATTTTTCCATGCATTTTTTGCCATTTTTCCGGGAGTGAAACGTAAGCAAGTTATAAGTTTATGTAAGCATTACCAATTTTCCTTTTGATTCTTCGAACACAATAAAAAAATTTCCTTTTAAATATGACCTTTAAAGGGATTTTAAGAAATTGCCTTTGAAGAAAGCAATTAATTTTGTTTTGAAAAAACTCAGATATATAAAACATTGGATCAAATGTGAAAATTTTATGCGATATATATGTCGATTGTATAAGGTTTTGATTAACTTTCAAATATTTCAATTATATAGTAAAAATAAAATCTTTTGAAAAATATCACTGAAAAAATTAATTGACTTCTCTTTTAACATGATTTAATTTTATTAGATAGATTTCTAATGTTTTAGAATCCCACATCGACCATATATAAGAATGGTTGAGCCGTTATAAGACAATGAACACGCTCTCTACAAACGGAACCACCTGCCTATATCCATCAAAACATAGAGAATGCGAAAACGACGATTGAGCCGTCGAGCAATATTCCATGTCATCCCATAACCATGGAACAGCTGACCAGATGCAAGAAAGAAAAGAGAAAAAGACTTCGGTAGTGGAGCATGAAGTCTCCGCTCGAGTTAGATGTGTCTGATTTCCCGTACCAAATCCAAATACATCAACGGCCACATCGACATCCATCCAAAAACAACTTTTTGTTTTTTGATCGTACGTTATACAGTACAGTTATACTTGGTCTAGTACCATGTTTTAACAAATACAAGCACACAACGTATGATTTCTTACCCGAAATGTTTGGAAGAGAAGATATGAGAGGTGGGACATTCAAGACTGGCCCAATATAATTGGAGCAGCCGAATTTTCCGTGATATTTTATGCATTTAATGTATATTATATAATGAAATAAACAAATTACTGATTACAAAACGGTTCCGTTGTGCGATATATATTAAAATATAGTTTTTTAAAGTATTAAAAAATCATAACAACAACGTAAATTTCTCAAAAGAAAATCCAAAGGAAATCGGAAATATTTAATCTTAAATTTTTTGTATATGCAAAAATTTCCCAAAAGAAAAATCTACATTTTTAGCGAAATGCCAAAATCGGTGTACTGAAACAAAATTAGCCGAAAGATCTATGGGCCGAAGCTCGTGAGTAATTTTCGTGGGCTTCTTTAAAGTATGGGCCGAATGACCCATACGAGCCTTCAACCTGTTCATGATTTTTGGCGTGCATTTAATATCCTCAAATTCAGTAATTATTGTTAATTAATGACGTATTAACTCTCAGAGTCGTTTCTTTCTTACGGTAATTTACTGTAATGATTACCTACTAATTAGTGACTATTCGATTTCAAACATATCAGCGATCATTGTTTAATACACTAACCGCGCAAATCAATAATCAAAGTGCCGAACATAGCGATAATTACCATACTTGAAATTTTTTTTTGTTGTTGTAAGAATGGAAAATAATTTTAAAACATTGTTAAAAAAATTTAAAATAAAATGCTATTTACGATATTGGTAATGGATGGTTTGAAATAAATAAATGAAATACTATTTTTTTTCTTATTTTTCAATTGATTTTTCGATGCATTTTTGCCATTTTTCCAGGAGTGAAACATAAGCAAGTTCTAAGTTTATGTAAGCATTACCAATTTTCCTTTTGATTCTTCGAACCCAATAAAAAAATTTCCTTTTAAATATGACCTTTAAAGGGATTTTAAGAAATTGCCTTTGAAGAAAGCAATTAATTTTGTTTTGAAAAAACTCAGATATATAAAATATTGGATCAAATGTGAAAATTTTATGCGATATATATGTCGATTGTATAAGGTTTTGATTAACTTCCAAGTATTTCAATTATATAGTAAAAATAAAAACTTTTGAAAAATATCACTGAAAAAATTAGTTGACTTCTTTTTAACATGTTTTAATTTTATTAGATAGATTTTTAATGTTTTAGAATCCCACATCGACCATATATAAAAATAGTTAAGCCGTTATAAGACAATGAACACGCTCTCTAGAACGGAACCACCTGCCTATATCCATCAACACGGAGAGAGTGCGAAACTGACGATTGAGCCGTCGAGCAATATTCTATGCCATCTCATAACCATGGAACAGCTGACCAGATGCAAGAAAGAAAAGAGAAAAAGACTTCGGTAGTGGAGCATGAAGTCTCCGCTCGAGTTAGATGCATCCGATTTTCCCGTACCAAATCCAAATACATCAACGGCCACATCAACATCCATCCAAAAACAACCTTTTGTTTTTTGGTCGTACGTTCTACAGTACAGTTATACTTGGTCTAGTACCATGTTTTAACCAATACAAGCACACAACGTATGATTTCTTACCCGAAATGTTTGGAAGAGAAGATATGAGAGGTGGGACATTCAAGACGCCCCCAATATAATTAGAGACAGTCGAATTTTCCGTGATATTTTATACATCTCATGTATATTATATAATGAAATAAACAAAATACTGATTAAAAAACGGTTCCGTTGTGCGTTGTATATTAAAATATAGTTTTTTAAAGTATAGATATGATTAAGCCAAGAAACGAAACCATTTTGATAAGTTTAGGATTTTGTACGACGTTTTGCCATAATCTAGTTATTAATTTAGAAAATTTATAATGTGATATTTGTGTACAAGTTGGGACATTTTTTTTAATGATATTCCCACTTGGACAATTTCTAACGGAAACTACGAAATTCTCAAAACAAACGGTCAGGATGGAGACACGCGGCAGAGAAATGGGCACGTCGACACGTGGCAAAAAGCTATTCGTCCTTTATCAATCTTTTGGGCCAAATCTTTGGATTTGTGATTTCGAGCCCATATAGCCTTAAGAGCAAGCCCGTATGTGTATGGGTTGGGTCAAACTACAATATAGGTAGTTGCTTGCTTGTTCTTAGAAAAAAAAACAAAATTCGAGATTGTAAGAAAAAAAATTGAGAAGTGAAAAAAAAAAATGGAAAACGTGCTTCGAAATTTCGAACCACACCGACGGTGCAGTAAATCAATCGAAACAAAAAAAAAATATTTTGATGAATAATGTTGATCGGAGAATTATTTTTCGACGCTTGTTCCGGCAAAAGTCGCAGCCTTTTTCTGCGTGATCCCCACATACCAAATCGCTATCTGCGTCAGATTCGTTCGATTTTCCTTCCTACGAAGCCCGTCAGTGTACCCAGAAAATCTAGGTCGAAGGTGGAGCGAATTCGTAAATCCAGGAGCTTTCGAGATCGAAATTGAACCGAGAATCTGCGTATTTCTAGCAATTGGGTGCTGGAATTTCGAATCTCCGATGATCATTCGAGTGACGTCGAAGGGGATTGCGATGGAAGGAACGAAGGGAGGGTTCTTCGCATCTGAATTACAGATTGTTGGGTCGGCAATTCACGATTCATCGGTTCATGGGCAGTGGTAAAGGTGATAACTTTGATTCCGGGCATCTGTGTAATTTCCGATTTCAATACGATATAATGGCCGCTTAGGGTTTTTTTTTGTTGGGTCGTTTTCTTCACTGTTTTATTGCTAGACAGGGAAATGTGATTAAAAAAAAACCATTGCAAGCACTTCAGTTTCTTATGACTATAGAAGAGTAAATATCCCAAAAAAGGAACTCGAGCGGGTTATGCTCTATGCCTTAATACTGTATAGGCTCTTCGTTTCATCTGCTATTTTATTACAAAAACTACTTAAGATTCTCCCTGTCGGAGAATAGGCCGAGTCGCCCCTAGAACTGGCCGCCTTCGTAGGACTGTCCGAACTGCCAGCCAGCAGGCACGACATCGTTGCTAACAACGGTCCGGCCATCGCTTGCAGTGACTTGAAACGAGAGGCTTTGGCCACGTAGGTACATGTTGCTCTGCCAGTTCTGTCCCCAGTTTCTCGACATGACTTGCCATCCGGTCCCCGACCCTTTCACCGAGACAGCCAGCACATCTCCGGCGCCACCCACGTTCGTGATCAGGACCAGGTCGAAGTAGGAATTCCCGTTAATGGTGAACCTTATTCCTCCTCTCTTCGCGCAAGGAACCCTGTAAACAAAAAAACTGGTTATTATCTCTCATGGTTATGATGGATACTAACAAAAAATGAAACGTTTTCTTTTTCTCGGATTCTGACTCGGTTAATTACCTTCTGAATCCCACAGGGACGATCCCGGCTCGGTACTGGGCGATCTGGAGGAAGGCGGGTTCAGCCATGTCGAAGTGCTGAAGAGGAGGGTTGCACCATCCACCGTTATTGTTCGGTAGACCGAAGTTAGGAGGGCAGAAGTTGGTAGCCGAGATTATGATCGAGCCGGGGTTGCACCACTGAGGATCATCCTCGCACCGTAGCTCGTAGCACGCCCCACAGGTCTGGCCGTTGTCGAACAGAGCCGTGCTCAGAGCCGCCGTGTTCGTGCCATAGCCTTGGTTGTTCAAGTTACCATATCCACATGCACCACCTTCAAATCCAAGAAGTTTTAGGGTTAGCTTGTGTCTTTTTTGTTGTTGGTTCTTTTCAGTTGATGTAAATATGAATCTAACTGTATGTACCCATCGTTCCTGATGCATCAGCGCCGCCATAGAAGGTAGCGTGGCCGCTCTGCCAGCCTCCGTCGTCGTCACAGTTGATCGCATGGAAGCAGAGGTTGAGGCAGGCAACGAGTGAAACAAACAAAGTTTGGGAAATTTTTGGAAGATTCATTATTTTGTAGGGGCTAAATTATGAAAAGTGAACTTGTGTATAGTTGACAGGGTTCTTGTTAAACCATGCTGCTATGCATAAGAACGTTTATATAGGAAGATCCATGAAGAAGATAACGTCTCTTATATGCTCTTAATATTTAAATATTTAAAAACATCATATCTCGCATACATAAGATAGCAATAAAATTTATCATTGAAGTATAAGATTATAAGATAGTATAAGAGAGAGAGAGATGAGGCATCATCGTATCGGTCGTATTTTCAGGAAGAGCG